CNGGGCTTCATAGGGTGGATACGTTTAGAGGGAAGACACTTGGATTCCTCTAGCGAGTAACCTCAAGTCGTTGAAGTTACAACCGGGAACCGATTCCCTCATCCATCATCAATAGTGAAGGAGTTCAAGAAATTCGGTAAATATTTTTACTAGTATTTACTTTATAGTAACAAATCAAAATTTGTATATGATGCATGTTTTAAAGATGACGATCAGTTAATTCGCAATTAGTATGTACGGGTGTTGTATTTATACGATAAATACTTACTTTAAAAATTTTAAATTCCGCTGCGTACAGCCCGTACGGTACTATCGAACCCAACAGTATAGTGTTGTGTGTCGCATCGAGCGGAATAGCATCACTTTTGTTTCCTGGTGGACGAACTGCTCATTCTCGATTTGGCATATCATTGAATCCTCACCAGGACTCTTCTTGCAATATCAATCAAGGAAGCCCTCTCGCAGAATTGATAATACGTTCTTCTTTGATAATCTGGGATGCGAGTGTTCACACTAGGGGCGGTACCGTAATTAACCAACTCTTTAAGTGTGAACGCAACAAACCAAGTAATTACGGTACTGCCCCTAGTGTGAACACTCGCAGTATATAAACAACCTCGTCCTGCTTGAATTAATACTGCGAGTGTTCACACTAGGGGCGGTACCGTAATTACTTGGTTTGTTGCGTTCACACTTAAAGAGTTGTTTAATTACGGTACCGCCCCTAGTGTGAACACTCAGGCTCCAATGATGCACAAGCATTGCTTCGAAGCTGTACAGACATCGTTGCAAGATATTATGGGAGCAATTGATCCTTCTAACAAGGACAAACCATTTGGAGGTAAATCAGTTATTTTTTGTGGAGATTTTCGACTAATTCTTCCTGTAATTTGAAGGGTAACCGTCAGGGCATAGTGAATGCTGCGATGGTCAGGGCATAGTGAATGCTACGATTAATGCTTCTGACATCTGGAGGAGTTGTACTATGCTCAGGTTTACAAAAACCATGCGTCTTCAGAGCCTTAAAGATTCTGAGGAACGTGAAGAGGTTGTTCGGTTTGCTGGATGGATTGCAAGCATTGGTGATGGAACTATAGGAGGGTCAAACGATGGTTGTGCAATGATTGACGTACCTGAGGATATATTGCTTCAACCATCTGATGATCTGATTGCTCAAATTGTAGAGAGCACATATCCAATGTTTAAACAGACGACCGATGATCCCATTTATTTGAAGGACAGGGCAATATTAGCACCGACGTTAGATGTTGTTAAGTCCATCAATGAATACATGACATCGTTGAATTTATCAGAAGGTAATACGTACTTAAGTTCCGACAGTATTTGCAAGTCGGACTCTAATGATGATTTTCTTTCTGATATCCATACGCCTGAGTTCTTGAATAGTATCAAATGTTCTGGAATTCCAAATCATCAATTGCATTTGAAGATTGGAACTCCCGTCATGTTGTTGCGAAATATGGATCATTCTATGGGTTTATGTAATGGGACACGATTGGTTGTGACAAAACTATCTACTCATGTTCTTGAGTGCAAGATACTCAATGGGGATCACGAAGGCAAGAAGGTGTTGATTCCTAGAATGGCTATTACTCCTTCCGATGTCAGAGTTCCTTTCAAATTTCAGAGGCGACAATTTCCGATTATAGTTTCTTATGCCATGACTATCAACAAGAGTCAAAAACAGTCGTTATCGCATGTTGATTTATTTCTTAAAAAGCCGGTGTTCAGTCTTGGTCAATTATATGTTGTCGCCTCCCACGTCACCAATCGAAGTGGATTAAAAATATTAGTCTGTAATGACGATGACTTGCCACCAAATCAGACCCAAAACATTGTGTACAAAGAAGTGTTTACTAATTTATGAAACATGTAAACAACAAAAATAGGAAGGCTACGAAATTATTTTTTCGGAACTATAGCTGTAGTATACAACTTATACATGAGCATGATCATATCTTTATTATTATAAATTTAATTTAATTTTTTTAAATTAAATAAAGGATTTATAATAGATACAATAGTTTTAGCTCAATTTAACAGTAATAATGGGTTCAAGCCTGTGCTACTCTACAGGTAGCATATAAAGCCAAGTGAAGCAACTCACTTCTAATGTGACGACAAAGAGGGAAAGGCGGAAAAACGATAATCTATCACCTTTTATCACTGTGTATATATACATTTTACATTGTTTTCAAGTATATATCAGAAATTTTGACAGGGAAAGTAACCTTACTAGGAGTAAGTGGAACATGATAGAAATCATCCCCAGAAAATGACTATATTGCCCATTGTAATTTTCATACCAAACCTCACTGATAGATATTTCGGCTCCTTTGGTTTGGAGAAATGTTAATCCTCTGATCCTTCAGCATGTTCAGATTGGGAGCCAAAAGCCGTGTGTATCGGTCGAAATAAAGTAGTTGCTTCATGAGGAGTGCAAACTCCCGAGGGAATCTCAAACCGTATGATTCACTAACACGAACCTATTTACCAAACAAAGAATGGAACAGATATTAAACATTTGCAAATATTGATACTTGCGTTGGTCAAATCATAAATAACAAAACTGACCAGCAACTCATAAGGTTTAAAATTATAATTACGGAAATACTCGGTTATCTTACAGAAAGATGGAATACTCCCCAAAAAGTAACACTTGGTATGTAAATAATATTTGGGCAGGAGCAACATAGAGAATATTAAAACAAATTAAAGTAAAAGCCAAGAGATACTGTTTCTATTTCATTTATTTTTATTTTTGTTTTCTCAATGAAGAATTACGAATTAGGTGATGGTATTCAAAATTATCCCGTTACATTCATGAACTCTAAAATGCCAACAGAAGTAAGCTCGCATATGGGAATGTCTTACCAAATCTAGAAATAGTACATTCATTTGTCTCTCATCAAAAACGACATTTGCAGCAACTGCAGTTGAATTTGTATTAGGTTCCCTTGCAGCAGCAACAATGATTTCTGTATCAAGATCCTGCGTCAATAAACAATATACTGATTTTACAGATACATGAATTAAATAAACCACAATATAATATCAAACATGAGTCAATTTACATCCTGTGCAGCCTGCTATATCTCTGTAGCCTATAGGAAATTACCACCACAATTTTTTTTTTCTTTTCCTTTTTTTTCTTCTGGAACATGATAGATTTCTCCAACATGATTTTCAGAGAGCAGTAATTTACTAAATTTTACCAGTGACTTAGTGAGACAGATGAAAATTTCAAGGAATAAAGGAAAGAAACCTATGACTCATATTAATTCCCTATATCTCGGCAGCTTGTCAAAAATTACCACCACATTTTCTATTTTCTTTCGGAGCATGGCAGATTTCTAAGTGATGATTTCCGAAAGCGGCAAATCACTAAATTTTCCCAGTCATTTCATGGGGTGAAGGAAAGAAACCTACAGAGTCCAATTATGAACGCAAATAAAAGCGAGCTTCGAAGTTCGAACAATTAAAAAGTTACTATCAATTTGCCAACTGTATCACCTACTGAATAATTTTGAGAACTGCTGATAGTGGGTTTTCGTGAAACGATTACTTTTGCAAGTCCTAATGCATAAAATTAAAAGACTAATTAATTTGAAAGTTATTAGATGGAGAATAAGATGTTCTCCGTCCTTCAATCAAAGAAACACAGCGCAAGCAACAAAAGACATGCCTGTATTGAGGAGAATATCTTTTCAAGATCCCTTGCAAAGGCCTGAGAGTCTATATTTTGACTTGTAGCACCCATATCGATCAAGGAAGAAGCCATCGACTCGTATTCTTCAGTTGCGAGTGATTGCAGAAATACTTCCATAGCACTCCATGTTTTTGGCGAAATCCTCCCCACTATTCCTGTATAGCAATTTATATCTCACTAGTCAAATAGGAAAATTTCATAGCAGTTAGTTGTGATTCAACTGAAAAGTTACATAGACTGGGACTCCATAAAATTCCCGAAGGTGTAAACTAAGATTGTTCAATGAAATTAGAAATCCATTTTTAGTCTTACAGTTCAAATCTTTAGTCCATCAATGCAATGACATTCAATCACACTAAATGAACAAGAGATATTGTAACGGGATGCATTACCAGTTCAAGTAATGTTAAGATCACAAAAAATGAACTCTGACTGAAAATGTAGATTCCAAAAACATTTTTAGCAGGAGCAGGTGGACCACATCAGCAGAAAAAAAGTCACATATCAAAGAGGTAATAAGAAAATAAAATAAATAAAAGATGATGGACGACATAAAATAAATAAACGATGCTTATGATCGCATAATTGAGATACAAACCAAAGTCAAGGAACCCAATGCGACCATCACGGAGCAACCACAGATTGCCAGCATGTACATCTGCATGGAAGCTTTCACAAGCAAGCAGACTACCAAACCTACAAAATATTTAACTGCACATTACTATATATATATATATATATATATATCAGATAGTTCATTCACCAGACAAAGCGTTTCTGCTATGAAGTCCAAATTATAAATGTCATTCTTACCAGACATTTAAGGCAGTTATAAGACTATTTTCCGGATTTGGAACAAGCGAGTTTATGGAGTTCAAGTCCGTGAGAGGGACACCATAAAGCCTTTCCATTGTAAGGACCCGTCTGCTACTGTACTCTTGATACACTTTTGGTGCCATAGCTTGCATTGTGAGTCCCATTGCATCCAAATATCTCCTGAAGGCCTCAACATTTGTAGCCTCTTTCTTAAAGTCAACTTCTTCGAGCATCGACTCTCTTATATCTTTGATTATAGCAACCTAACATTGCGAATACTGTATTAAAAAGAAACATATGCTCCAACAAAAGCAGATATATCAGCAAAGTGAACAAAGAAAAACCCAAAAAAATAAAAAATAAAAAAGGAACATGCGATGAGCAAGTTGCGAGAAAAATATGGAATTATCTTTGAGAAGGTTACTGGGCTCATCAGTTGTATGCATTAACTATAGAGAACATAGCATCGTCTGTTTAGAAGGCAACATACAGAGCTATTTATGGCAATGGCCTACAATTTACCAGAGATGTTCGGCTTAGGTCAGGACTCAAGAATTCCAAGATGCGTGCAACAATATAAACAAAGTTCAAATCTGCCACCAGTATATCTTCTATACCGGGTTTTAGCACCTTTATAACTACATCCTCTTGACTGCCCCTCAATCTAGCACCATGTACCTGAAAACCAAGACATGCAGTTTAACTGTTGAAGACATATTCTACACTCAATATAAGTAACTGTTGATTATATCGTAGTACACAATTCGGGTGAAAAGGAACCAGAAAAAGAACACACACACGTATGCAAAGGGGAAAAAAAAACAAAAGGTACAAACCTGTGCTATGGAAGCAGAGGCTATAGGTGTTGGTTCCACATACTCAAACACAGAGTCGATGGGCTTGCCTAACTCCTTACCTAAGATATCTTGAATCTCTTCGAATGGAACCGAAGGAGCTCTGTCGAAACAGTACTGAAACTCCTCAACATACTCTTGAGGAAATAATGTCGGTGCAGATGCTATGAACTGAATATACAAATTACAGAAAGCATAAGCGAGCTGATCTCTCATGTATGAGAGTTTTTCACAGAGGGAGAGAGATGGAGGAAAAATGATGTAGGACTTGTTATTTGTTAGCTTGTGACTTGTTAGAGAGAGTGAAGCCAATTGGCTCTATCATTTGTTTTTCTTTGAAAAAGATAGCAGAATCAACAAGAGACACCCACAAAGGAAAATGTTACACAATATATCTTCACTAACCTGACCTAATTTGATGTATGTGGCCCCCATGCATTCGAATAACTTCCTCAAGTAAGCAGGTGACAGTAATCCAAGCTGCAACTCAGCAGGAAATCCACCAGATGAACTTGCTGCCTAAAAGGTTAAAGAGCATCAGAATTCAGTTCATGATAAAGAGCAACTAAAAAAAAAAAATTGTAAAATCAACTAAAGCTCAAGTATTTTTCAATTTCAAGACTAGGAAAGATGAATGCAAGGTCCTACTTAATTGATAAGCTAAGGATGCCCATAGGTGACGTGTGAACAGGGAATCAGGTGATTTCAGGTCTTCACTAGGAACAGGTTCAGGTAGCTAAGGATGCCCATAGATGAGTCAGGTGACTTCAGAATTTAGATATTCCCATTAAAAATAACCAAAAAGATATTAGATATTCACACCAAAAATTGAAAACCAATAACATAGATGAATTAGGTGGCTTCAGGTCTGTTAATATATATAAGTTGTCATAAGTTGTATTAGTTGCTATTCATTATCTGTAAAGTTGTTATTTTAGCATAGTTGTTATTTTAGTATAAAGTTGCTACTAGTATGTAAAAGTGTGTTAACACTTCATGTAACCCTAGTATATAAGGGTGATCCAACAGACTCTGTATTCACTTTTTCATTCTATCAAGTCATATTTCTTTTTCTCTCGCATATGCGATTTCTCTCTTGATGTTGTTCCTCATCTTGATTCTCAGATTCAACATGGTATCATTCGCCAGATGACGATCTAGCACCGCCGCATCTCATTTTTTCTTCCGCTGCACTCACATTTGATATTTTTTCTTCATATTTTTCGATTGGACAAAACCCTAGTTTCGATCCTTTTTCTGATATTTGTAGATCTATTCAGAATTTGTCCATTGCAAATGGAGCTGGAAGAGTCATTGTTGACAATTCACCTGGCATAGTGCTAATAATGAACTAGATCAAAATGGCTCAATTAAATTCTAGTGTTTCTTCTATTAGTGAAGTTTCTAGAAAAAAATATATCAAACAGCGCAATGCACCTTGGGTCGTTACGGAAACAGCCTCCTTGTATAATTACAAGAGTAAGGTCTGCGTACAACTGACCCCCAGACCCCAACCTGTTGGGAATATACTGGGTATGTTGTTGTTGTTGTAGGTCTATTCAGAATCGGCTTGATTCTCTCTATATTGGCTGGAAATCGATTTGATGGCAACTCTCAATCCATCCGAAGATCCAGCATCTCCTTATTATCTGCACACGAGCAACAATCCGGGGGCGTTGATCGTAGCAGAACCATTCAACGGCGAAAATTATGTTTCCTGGTCACGCGCCGTCCTAATGGCTCTCAGCCTGAAGAACAAGATCAGTTTCGTTGACGGTACACTCAAAGCCCCATCGTCCACTGGTAACCCTAGTCTTTACGTTTCCTGGTTACGGGCTAACAATTTAGTCCCCTCATGGCTTCTCAATTCCATTTCTAAAGATATACGACAGTCTCTATTGTTTTTCACCTCTGCCTATGATGTATGGAATGTATGGAATGAGATGAAAACTCGTTATGTATTAAGTAGTGGACCAAGGGTTTTTCATCTGGAAAAATCACTTAGTACCATTACTCAGGGATCCTCGTCCATGACACAATATTACAATTCTTTCAAATCTCTGTGGGACAAGTACATCACTTACAGACTAGTTTTTAAGTGTAACTGTGGAGCATTCACCTCATGCACCTGTAATATCTTTGAATCCATGGCTATTTCTCAACACCGCTATGAAGTTTTTAGTTGGCTTGAATGACTCTTTTTCCTCACTTCGCAGCCATTTCCTTTTATCTACACCCATGCCTTCACTGACCAAAATATACTCTCTGCTCCTTCAAGAGGAAACTCAAAGAACCTTACATAATAATCCTCAACCTCTTGATCCCCTTGCTATGCTTGCCAAAACCTCTGGTCCCCAGCATAAATTCCAAAAACCTCACTATAAAGACACAAAGAAACTCAAATGCACTCACTGTGGCTACAATGGTCATACAGTAGATAAATGTTTTCTAATTGTTGGCTACCCTGGCCTGGTCTTAAAGGTCCTAAACCACCTGCCAATCATTCTGTTAATGCCATTCAATCTGAACCTGTTGTCTCCAATTTTAATGCATTAGATTCCATTACTAATGATCTTCTTCATGAGTTTATAGCTTTTAAAAGATCACAGCAGGAATCACAAAATGCTCAAATTCCTAAAGCAAGTCCTGTTGTAGCTACTGGCATGCCATCAACATCAGGTATTCCTACTTCCATTTCATGTTCAGTAGTCAGAAACTTATCAAAAACTTCATGGATATTAGATACAGGGGCTACTGACCACATGATATGTGACTTGTCTTTCTTTGCCAATACTCCTAAACCTGTTAATGTGCATATCAAACTGCCAAATGGTCAACATACTGAGGCATGTTACATACGCAATGTTATTCTTAATGATCATATCACTCTCTTTGATGTCTTATATGTTCCTACTTTCAGCTTCAATCTGATCTCTGTTTCTTAGTTAGTATCATCCAATAAATTCATGGTGCAATTCTTGTCATGTCATTGCATTTTACAGGACATGCTAACTCAGAAAATCATTGATCCTGCTGATCTGAAAGATGGACTATATCATTTTTCACCCTCTTGTTCTTTAGCTAACTCTGCACATTTAAATGTAAACTTTCCTTTACCTGTAAATCATGTTCCTCAGACTGTATGTTCTGCTACTGTTCATAATGATACCTGGCACTATAGACTTGGTCATTTGTCTTTTTCAAAGTTACAGAAATTACATCTTACACCTACACCATGTATTGATATGATGTCTAAACCTTGTGATGTATGTCATTTTGCCAAACAAAGAAAACTTTCATTTCCTATTAGTACCTCTGTTGCTTCTGATTGTTTTGATCTTATCCATTGTGACTTATTGGGCCCATTTTCTGTTGCATCTCATAATGGTTATAGATTCTTTCTCACCATTGTAGATGATCATTCTAGGGTCACTTGGATATATCCATTAAATGCTAAGTCAGACACTAAACAGAGTTTACTTCATTTTTACAATATGATTTTTACCCAGTTCTTTAAAAGGATAAAGGTCATAAGGTCTGACAATGGGACTGAGTTCTTGTTACAAGATTTCTATACATCTCATGGCATTTTACATCAAACATCATGTGTAGAAACACCTCAACAACAAAGTGGCAGAGTGGAGAGAAAGCATCAACATCTTTTGCAAGTTGCTAGGGCAATTCTCTTTCATGCACATCTCCCTCTGTCATTCTGGATAGATTGCATTCTTGCTGCAACACACATCATTAATAGAGTTCCAACTCCTATTTTACAAAACAGATCTCCTTTTGAGATTCTTTACAAAAAACCTCCTACATATGATCATCACCCAGATTCAAGCAAGCGTTCTAGCGAAACGATCCTTTGACATATGTTGTTGGGCATATGCATCTACTTTGACTGTTTGCAGATCAAAATTTTCACCAAGAGCATCAAAATGCATTTTTCTTGGGTATCCTATAGGTTGTAAAGGATACAAACTTTACAATCTTGATACTAAGAAGACATTTATCTCCAGAAATGTGCACTTCTATGAAAAATGTGTTTCCCTTTCAAAGTCAGCAACCCACTGAACTTCTCTTCCCAAACACTTCATTTGATTATTATTCTGAAACTACCAATCAGAATCCTATCAATCTCAGACCTACTCATTCACCAACACCTACTAGTCAATTATCTTCTATTACTTCCCCTACTGCTTCCCCTATTAACCACATAACTCCTACTGCTTCTCCCATTAACCACATATCTCCTACTGCTTCAATTCAACCTCCCAACAATAGTCCTTCTCAAAATATTTCAGTCCCACAAACAGAACAGATTCCAACTCCTCCTAGAAGATCTACAAGAATTTCCAGGCCTCCTTCCTATTTACAGATATACAATCATTCTCTACCAAACATATCTCATTCATCTAACACATCTTTCAGCACATCTGGAAAATCTGTGAAATATCCTATATCTTCATTCATATCCACTGCACAATTATCTGAAAATCATAAATGTTTCACAGCATCCATTACACAACACACTGAACCCAAATCCTACTCACAAGCAGCAAAAGACCCTCTGTGGCAAGCTGCTATGAGAAAGGAATTGGATGCATTAGAAAAAACACAAACATGGATTTTAACAGACTTGCCCATTAACAAACATTGTATTGGATGTAAATGGATTTTAAAATTAAATATCATTCAGATGGCACTATTGAGAGATATAAAGCTAGACTAGTTGCAAAAGACTATACTCAAGAAGAGGGTATAGACTATTTTGAAACTTTCTCTCATGTTGTCAAGATCACTACTGTTAGATTCATGATTGCACTTGCATCCATTAAAAGCTGGCATATTCATCAACTAGATGTTAATAATGAATTTTTTTCGGGTGAGTTAGATGAAGAAGTTTACATATTGCCACCTCCTGATTATTGTTCTCCTTCTGATACAAGGGTTTGTAAACTTAAGAAAAGTTTGTATGGTTTGAAACAAGCCTCTAGGCAATGGTGTCAAAAACTCACAACTTGTTTACTGACTTATGGTTTTAAACAGTCAGTATCTGATTGTTCCTTATTTACTCTTTCTCATTCTGGTAACTCATCATTCACAACTCTTCTTGTATATGTAGATGATGTCATTATCACTGGCAACAATTTGTCTGAAATAACTGCCACTAAAAATCATCTCCATTCTTGTTTTACTATTAAAGACCTTGGTCAATTAAAGTATATATTGGGTCTTGAGTTTGCTCATTTTGATAAAGGGATAAATATGTGTCAAAGAAAATATACTCTTGATGTTTTAACTGACACTGGCTTTCTTGCATGCAAACCTGCCCCTACCCTATGGATTCCAATGTTAAATTGTGTTCTGCTACTAGTTCTTGTCAACTAACTAATGTTACAGAATACAAAAGGCTTATAGGTAGGCTTTTATATCTTACTATATCCAGACCTGACATCTCTTATAGTGTACAAACACTAAGTCAGTACTTAGCAAAACCTACCAAAGTTCATCTCTCAGCAGCACACAAAATTTTAAGGTATTTGAAAGGTACAGTGGGTCAAGGTATATTTTTTCCTAGATCTTCTTTACATCTCAATGCTTATTGTGATAGTGATTGAGCTAGTTGCTTAGAAACAAGAAAGAGTGTTACTGGTTACTCAGTTTTTTGGGGAAACTCACTCATTTCTTGGAAGTCTAAGAAACAAAGCACAATCAGCAGGTCTTCAGCTGAGGCCGAATATAGAGCTTTGGCCACAACCTCATGTGAAATCCAATGGTTATTATATCTACTTGCTGATTTCAACATATCTCATACTGGTCCAGTTTCCTTACTTTCAGATAGTCAATCAGCTATTGCTATTGCCACAAATCCGGTGTCCATGAGAGAACCAAGCACATACAACTTGACTGCCATTTGATTCGAGAAAAGATCACTCAAGGGCTTATCAAGTTGCACCATATCTCAAGCAAGGAACAGATTGCTGATTTGTTGACAAAGCCATTAGCTAAAAGTGTTTTTACATACTTGTTGTCCAAGTTGTATTAGTTGCTATTCATTATCTGTAAAGTTGTTATTTTAGCATAGTTGTTATTATAGTATAAAGTTGCTACTAGTATGTAAAAGTGTGTTAACACTTCATGTAACCCTAAGTATATAAGGGTATATAAGGGTGATCCAACAGACTCTGTATTCACTTTTTCATTCTATCAAGTCATATTTCTTTTTCTCTCGCATTTGCGATTTCTCTCTCGATGTTCTTCATCTTGATTCTAAGATTCAACAAGGTCCTTACAAGAAAAGGGTTCAGATAGGATAAGACTCCAAATAAAATAGTAGTTCGTTCAACATTGCAACAAAAAAAATAAGATGGCAAAAAGATACGATGAAACATATAAATTCCTTTCTTTCCCCCAAAGAAAATAACATCACTACCTTAGAAGCATCAGCCAACCACTCGCTACCAACACCTACAACTGCTTGGATGCCTTGAGCCAGTCTTAGTGCTCCACGAGGACCAGTTTTTATAGATGTCTGAACAATATCCTCCAAAAGACTGGGCAAGTTCTGAATACTATCTGCAGCAATATGAGACACCACAATAAAGTTTAAATATTCACTAAATACATTAATCAACATTCTGAAATAGCTAAACTGAAAAATGCATCCTCAGACACTTTTGGCACCATACTGCAGTCTATACGCATGAAAACAAGAAAGCTATACAGTGTTGTAATCAGCTCAAAAGTCACCATGAATACCCGCCTTTCCATCAAATAGCCAAAGTATCAGGAGCAGTAAATCCAATTTGACCCGATTACAAAAGGGGGGTATTTATAATTCTGAAACAAAACCAGCTTTCGGTGATTGAGCTTAAACTCCAGGCATAATATTTCTAAGCAACCCTTAAAATAAAGAAAAGCCTTTTTTCCCAAAACAAGCAAGACATCTCACTAATACCACTACAGTCTCCCAAAATCAAATTATTACGCCAGTTATATAGTTACGCTATCTATATGCATATACATATTGTTGTTATTATTAAATTTACCTTGAAGACGGCTGGTGAAAAGGTCCTGCGACTGTGAATATCTGGCAAAGAGGGAAAACTTAGTGGTGCCATATTTCAAGTTGAGCTTCCGTGTCGGCGTGCTCACAGTAGTGATAGGCAACTGTAATTGTTACATTACATATACTCAGTCAGAGACAAAATCAAATTCATTTTTTTACGAAAACGCATAGACGATGAGTAGAAAAGAGGATTTCGACCTGCGAGCGATGAATGAGAGGTAAGCGACCACAAACTGCGCCTCTTGCCACTTGAGCCATGGGTGTATTTCAACAGAGAAAGTTTCAATCGAACATTTGGACCGTTTATTGGTTTAATTTATACCATCATTTCTGTCAGCATGGCTGTGGAGAAAGTTTGGTTCTTCACTGGGTGAGGAAGCTCTGAAACGGTGTCGTAAAGCTAATAGTTGAGAAAAATATCTTCCTCGAGAAATAGTGAATGAAAATGTTGTACACCACGTTTCACTCAATTATATACTTGTTCTCGTACATGTATATTCTTCAAGCTGATCCTTTAATTTTTTTTGTTACTTTATTTTTATATGCAAAACTCGTGCGATGCATTGGGTTAACAATTTTAAGGCTATTTTATCCAGCATTATTATTATATCCATGAATAAAAAAAATTAAATAATTAAAATAATAAATGAATATTATATATTATTAAAAATCTTCTTGTAAACAACATTTTTTTGGCTTGTAGGCACATCATCCTCTCTGCAAACTAATATTTTCAATCTGTTTTTATTTGTGACATGGGAAACAATATATACAACTGGCCATGACCTGAACACCGTTTTCTTAAAAATCATGTTAACATGTGCTAAAAACTGACTCTGACTTTTGTTAATCAAATTGCGAATCTCGTGAACACCATGACCAGCAATTAGCTTGGTAACATTCTTCGGATGAGCTAATTGGTTATTAACTAAAATATTAACACATATATAAATGTACACGTATTTGTTAAATATAAAAATAAATATTATGAATAGAATTATAATATAAATTTAAAATTAAATTTAACATCGTGTTAAAATACAAATGTATTTGTTAAATGTTAAAATATGTATTTTAAATATATTTATATTATAATTAACAAAACATAAATTATAAACTAATTTAACAAAAATACATCCCATGGTCATGTTTGACAAAGATGAACAATGAGCAAATGTAGATGACAATCATTGCAATATTCATTTTCAATTTCCAAAAGTCGATCAACGAAATCACTCCATAGTGTGGAATCAATCTTATTCCTCCTACACGCTCATTTAAATAAATTATTAAAATTATTTTTTGAAAAAGAACATATAATAAATAAAATAAAAATTGTTATTGTTGATTGAGATAAAACACAATCATTTGTGTTGGAACGCTATCAACCTCTTTAATTTCATCGATCCAATTTCAACAATTAAATCAATTATATCTACAATTAAAAGGTAAATTATTTATTTTTCAAAGCATTCTCAATTATCCATACGAAAAAAATAAAATAAATATAACATAATTAAATACATAGATTAATAAATTACCAAAAAGCCTTGCTTGATCTTGTCAAAGACCATAACGCAGAGTTGCAAAGCTTCATAAATCACCAAAAATTATGAATGTCTCCTTTGAACCTAACCAAGTTGGTCAAACCGTGGTTCACAATTTTAAATTGTGTAATTATTAGACAAAATGACCGGTAGTTGTCCTCTACTTGATACTTTTGAATTCCATAGATTTCTCCCTCTTTCACGTTGTTCATCCATTTTTTGATATGAGCAGCCCTTATGATTTAAGTAATACGACTTTTCTATAATAAATATTTAGAAAACATAAATAAGTATATAATGATTTCGTGAGATGATTGAAAAAGTAGGAGAGATGTTAGTGAAAATGATAGGTAGTTAAAAGTATGTGAGTGAATGAGAAGTGAAATTAAATTTAATGTGATTTGTGAGATGATTGATTAGTATGTATTTAAATATATTGGTAATATTGAGGATAATTGGTTTGATTAAATTCGAGTTTGATTTTGAGTTAAAGAGCGTAAAAAATTATTCAGTCAGTGAAAATCGATTTTAATCTGTAGCCAATCACTCTCTCAGAGCTTGTTTCGAAGCACTTCTCAAATGGAGTTTTGGATGCAAAAGTCCATATGGATAAATATTTATGTTTGCTGCTAAATTAAGAATAGACTTGTGGATAAGTTGTTTCTCCAAAAGTTCTGTACAAATAAAGGATGAAAAATTTTGGAGAAGTCCCATTTTGAATAAGTTAGTGCTAGTACTTTTGTAAAAGTCCATTTGTTAAATGAAGTTCTACAAAATGGACTTTTCCAAAAGTCTCAATTCTTTACTGATATACAATGGATTTTTTTGGAGAACCAACTTATGCATAAGTCCCTTTTAGTTTATCACCAAAAGTTCATTTGAGAAGTGTTTCCGAACAAGCTTTGAATTTCTTAAATAGACTTTTCCAGAAGTGCTCTCAGTCAAGTACTTAATCTTGTCATAAGTTATACTTTAACACCTCATTAGGATTTCAGTTGCAGCCTATAAATACATCATGAGGATCACAATTTCACCATTCTCGTAAGAATTTTTCATGCACATGTGAATTTATTCAAGAGTAAAGAAATCATTATGTTTGGAAAGAGAGATAAAGACTGTATTTCTTAGATCTGCTAGGAGTAAAATAGTTATGTATTCCTCCTTTTCTCTAGAAGCTAATCAAGCGTGAGATTATGGGCGAAGATTCGAAAGCTGGTCGCCCACCTGAAGTTCGAATCTGGTGATATGAAATCACATAAACACCCACTCAAAGGCAAAGTCGACCAGACAAAACCATGAATTCAACAAACAATTACAACAAACCGTACTCTGCAGATATAAACAACCATTAGACAAATGCACCAAACGAAAATCCAAATGAGTTACTCCCAGTGTCAAGCTCCACGCAAGAAACACAAGAGATTGAATACAAACATCACCATCTCCTCGATTCAAGACATGCTTGGGTAAAACTATGAATAATCAATTCAAACAATTTAAGTAAGCCACATACCTTCGCCCCGAGAAATACTATCTCAAATTTACCTCCCCGTTCGCGTTATTCATCCCGAATTATTCTTGGGCACCAAATGGGGGTGTTGGACTGAGCTAGACTGGTTTGGACCGCTTTTAGACCATCTAGACCGCGTTGGTGGCTGTTTAGGCACGGCCTGAGCCGCTTGGGTACGGCATGGCGCTCACTGGGCCGACTGGAGGCGATTTGGGCGATCAATGGGCCACGTAGGGGATGCTGGGCAGCGACATTAAGCCAGTTAGAGGCTAGGAAGATGCACTTGGGCCAGTTGCGGGCCGAGGCTGGGCTTAACGCGGGCTGGAGCTTTCGGAAGTGCGGGATGTGGTGCGGGCTGGGACGCGTGCTATACGCAGGCCGACACCTAGGAGTGAAGCAGGTCGCGTGGGCTGGACGCGGCCCGCGCGATGGAGATGTTGGGAACGGGCCTTCTGGGCTGAAGGCGACCTCGCTGGGCCGTGCTGGAATGTTCCTGGGACGCTTACATAGGCCATGTTAAAAATATTCCGGGCCACTTGCACACAAGCCGCGGTGTAGGGATAGTGGATGCGGGTTGGGCTGCTGGAGCCACCATCTGATGAGCTGCTCGCAGATTTGAAAATGTTCCGGCGAAAATAGCCGGAAAATGCCGCCGGCTCCGGCGAACGTCACCGTTCGCATGTGCGCCTCGGCGAGGAGACTTCAATGGTGCCCTCGGTTTAAAGTGAATCGCTGGAAATCGCTGGAAAAATACAGAAGATGACCGGATTTTGATAAAAAAATTTCTAGATCCAAAAACTTTGACCGCAAAATTGACGACCTTCTCGGAGGAAATTTTGCTTGAAATTTTAAGGGTAGAACGAGCACTAGAAGAGCTTCGCGATGGTGTAATAATTTTTCAGATCAGAGGATTTTGGACGGCGACCTCCAGCAAAGGTGGCAACGACCGGCGGTGGCGCCCGGCGGGGGTCGGTAATTAGAGATTCGCCTCGACGAGAAGATTCCTGTGGTGCTCTCGGATTTTTCATAGCCCTCACGAATCATCGGGAAAATGCATTTGAATGTCGGAAGTTGACCAAAATTTCTTAGATCTAGAATGTTTGACCGAAAAATTGACGACCTTCCCGGTGGAATTTTGACATGAAATTTTATGTGGAGATTCACCTCGAGGAGATCTACCCAATGTCGCGAACGATTTTTCGATCGGAGCACATTTTCTAGCGGCCGGTGAAAGTGAAGAAGCTTGATGGAAAACTTTCAATTTTGCGGTCGGAACTCCGTTTGGATTTTCAAACGGGTCCCACAGACGACGCCAATAATGGTGAAATGAACTTGACCCGGGCTCCTTCAACTCGAACTGCCTACGTACCTACAAGAACCCAACGTCAGGAGGGATCCTGGCGTCGGGCCTCCGATGCCTAAGTCAGCAATCGCTTAAAATGAGAGTGTAGCCATGAATGTAGAGAGAATGAGTTAATAAGATACCTTAGCCTCCTTTTATAGTGGGGTGTACCTTAGAGCCCAAGCTGGGCTTGACCAATACCATCATGCCACATGTCTTTGCCCATGTGTAGTCTTATTCTCCAATATATATTCTTTTTATCCATTAAAACCGGTCTAGTATACTATCTATATCAATAATTAAATTTGATGTGATGTAAAAGTAGGAGAGATGTTAGTGAAAATGATAGGTAGTTAAAAGTATGTGAGTGAATGAAAAGTGAAATTAAATTTAATGTGATTTGTGAGATGATTGATTAGTATGTATTTAATTATATTGGTAATATTGAGGATAATTGGTTTGATTAAATTCGAGTTTGATTTTGAGTTAAAGAGCGTAAAAAATTATCCAGTCGGTGAAAATCGATTTTAATCTGTAGCCAATCACTCTCTCAGAGCTTGTTTCGAAGCACTTCTCAAATGGAGTTTTGGATGCAAAAGTCCATATGGATAAATATTTATGTTTGCTGCTAAATTAAGAATAGACTTGTGGATAAGTTGTTTCTCCAAAAGTTCTGTACAAATAAAGGATGAAAAATTTTGGAGAAGTCCCATTTTGAATAAGTTAGTGCTAGTACTTTTGTAAAAGTCCATTTGTTAAATGAAGTTCTACAAAATGGACTTTTCCAAAAGTCTCAGTTCTTTACTGATATACAATGGATTTTTTTTGGAGAACCAACTTATGCATAAGTCCCTTTTAGTTTATCACCAAAAGTTCATTTGAGAAGTGTTTCCGAACAAGCTTTGAATTTCTTAAATAGACTTTTCCAGAAGTGCTCCCAGTCAAGTACTTCATCTTGTCATAAGTTATACTTTAACACCTCATTAGGATTTAAGTTGCAGCCTATAAATACATCATGAGGATCACAATTTCACCATTCTCGTAAGAATTTTTCATGC